CCAAGTAAAAATATCGTTTTTTTTTCCAGATTTTTGGTTCGAATCAATAATTATGTTTTAAATGTGAATTTTTGATTGAAAATGAGTTATTTGATAATGTTTTTATGTTTTGAACAGAATTTTGAGTAAAACAACTTCAATAAACGTTTTCATCTTATCCCTTGATTAAAGATAATTATGAATATTGATTACGAAAAATTTATCCATAAATTTTTGAACATTCCAAATTCATTTTATTAGCGTGTCACTTGTCCCCGAAAAATTATTAGATAGACCCGGTTTACCATGTCATATGTGGTTCCAATCAATAATATTTGTCTATTTCATATTTTTCTAAGATAAATTTTCACCTCTTTTTTTACTAAATAAGAAGTAGGTAGTTATTTGGAAATTATTTTAAAATTGGTGGCTCTCATTCATTAGAATTATGAATGACGTGGTGAGTCGAGTCCATCAAATAATTTTTCCTTGACCCGTAGATATTTTCTAAAAAAATATTTTATGATTTTATATAGAAAAATATTAAAGATAAATTTTGATACCATTTTAAAATTAATTAATTCTCTTTAAAAAAAAATTGACATACATCATCAACTCCCGTCCACTTAAAAAATTATAATTTTTTGAGTTAATTGCACATACATCCTCAAATTATAACTCTTATTTTAATTTGATCCATAATTCTTTAATTTCATCCTCAACTATGATACATTCTAAATTGATCCATAAACTTTTGAACATTCCAAATTCATTTGTAAACTATGAATCTCATTCTAAGTTAGTCCCCTAAACCATTAAAAAATTAGGGGATGAGATTAGAATATTCAAATATTTGGAGACTAATTTACAATAAGATTCATAGTTTATAGATGATTTTTGAATTTTTAAAAGTTTAGAAATCGATTTAGAATATATTATAATTCAATATTCAAGAATTACGAATCAAATTAAAATAAAAGTTATAATTTAAGAATATGTAATACAATTAGCCCTTTCTTTTAACTGTGTTACGGTAAAAGACTACAGCTCCCTTTTATCCGAAGGCATGCATGGGGAGAAAGTTCTCCGAGTTTTTCGCAACAAATTCGCATAATGTAAGATGAGTTGTTATACGGGATTGCACCTAGACGGAGACGGGTTGAGACTGTCGTTCTTATAAAAATTTAAAATTATCATATATTTTAAAAATTTTAATATACTTTTATTACTCTTGAAATTTTATAAGTTTAAATTTATTCATGAACTTTCATTAGTTTAAATTCATTACTTCTATTAGAAAACCCTACATCCATCCCTGTTGCTATATAATTGTAGATCACTAACCCCTCGTATACAGTATTTCTACAAGCTTTGCAATCTCGAAACTGGAGCGAGTTGAGTATGTGAGATTAGGCCTGTAAACGAATCGAACGTACATGAACGGATGTATGTTCATGTTCGTTCATTTAATAAATAAACGAACGTAAACGAACAAAAACATAAACAAATAATTTTTTTTGTTCATGTTCGTTCGTTAAGGAATATAGTTTGTTCATGTTCGTTCATTTAATAAATAAACGAACTCAAACGAACATAAACGAACACAATAAACGAACAACACAAACACACACAAAAAAACTTATTCGAACACAACAAACGAATTAAAAAAAAGTAAACAACAAGAATAACAACTTAAAATTTATTAATATAACCTGTAACTTTAGAGTTAATTTGTTCGAATACGAAAAAAACATACATAAATCATAATTAAGCTATATGAACATAATAAAGTCTTAAAGTTAATTTGTTCAACAAAATAATCTTCTTGAAATCCAAACAACTTCAATAATCTTCGTAACATATTCAACTTGCCCTCTGTTCGAACATAAATGAACGAACATAAACGAATATATGATTGAACGTGATGAACGAACGAGCCCTTTGTTCATATTCGTTCATTTAATTAAACGAACGTAAAAACAAACTTCCCGCCACACGATTCATAAACGATTTACTTAACGTTCAATTCATTTACATGCCTACATGGGATTGTCGTTTGGACCATTATTTTATGTATACGTATAGTTTGAATACCAAAAGTCTAAGTGTTACAACTTTATGGTTTCTCTTTAGTTGGTGGAGTCATGTGGTTGGACAAAAGCTTTAATGATTGAACATAATGGAAGGAGAGATGCTATTTCTGACATGCTTACTGGGGTATGTCCCCAAAAGCAGTTGTATTGATAGCTACCTTCAATCCAACTCCTTCCCTTTTTATTAAAGCATCCCCCACTCTGAGCTTCTTGTCTTGTTTCTTTCTTCAGTTTTCTCCCAGTAGTTGGTAGGTTAATGAATGATCAATGCTGCTGTGGCCAAAAGGAAGATCCAAAATCAGCTCAGCTGTTAGCCTGTTAGTTCATTATGTCTGACTAATGATGGAGTTGCTGAAGTAATTGCACTTGCACATCAATGAACTTGTCTGAGACACGACTGGATCTGTCTTCTGGTTTGGTCATTTACTAACAAACTGCAGTGATATGATAAGCATGTGGATGATTTCATGGCATAGAAATGTTATTTTTAATATTAGTTTTTTAATATTAATTATTAATTGATTCAATTAGAATAGATGCAAATTTTAAAAAATATTTAATATTTGTAATTATATCATTGTGAATCGAGTAAAAATATATAATGTGTTATCATAATTTAGAGTGCAAGAGAGCTACAAGTGTTGAATGCCATTCAAATAAGAGAAAATAATCTCAGTGACCGAAAATGTATTGTAATATACGATTTTGACCATTTTTTTTTGGATTTGCTAAAATGACAAAGTAAATCGCAATGCGATCGATAATTCGCAACGCGATCTCCGGTATCGCAAATCAGTTTTCAGATTCGCAACGCGATAGTCGAAGTTCGCGTTGCGATTCATTCCAAATTCGTTGCGATAGTCGAAGTTCGCGTTGCGATTCATTCCAAATCGTTGCGATAGGCGAAGTTCGCGTTGCGATTCATTCCAATTCGTTGCGACAGTCGAAGTTCGCGTTGCGATTCATTCCAAATTCGTTGCGATAGTCCAAATATTGCATTTGTTTCTTAAGAATTTTCTCTAAAAAGATAGAATTCGCGCGGACGTGTCGAATACACGTATTACCACGACCACGACCCAGGATCACGACCACGACCCGGGATGGGATCACGACCACGACCCGGGACAGGACGGCGGCGGCGGCGACGCGCGAGAGTCCCCCTTGTTCTCTATCACTCAACAAGGAAGTGAGAAAGCCAAACCTTAAATATCATTCTCAATAGTGTTTCCAATACTATGTGGGATTGAGCATTACCAACACTTGTTTCCAATACCATTACATTCATTGTTGTAAGAGTTTAATTTTGAAACTAAAAAAATATTTATTCGAATAAATAACTTACCCTTTGAGGACTTTGATAATAAATGAAGTAATTGCTAAAACTAACTCTGATTCGGGTTCTTATAGTGTTCAAATGACTTACTTGCAAAGAGTAGATGATGACCAAACAACTCGATATGTTTCCTTTGTGTCATTATCAGCTAGTTTTCGTAGCATCCTCAGTTGAAAACTTCCATCATTGTCTCCTTTGCATTTGTTTGGTTAATATTTTTCTTCCATCAAAGTCCTCAAAGGGTAAGTTATTTATTCGAATAAATATTTTTTTTAGTTTCAAAATTAAACTCTTACAGACAATGAAGGTAATGGTATTGGAAACAAGTGTTGGTAATGCTCAATCCCACATAGTATTGGAAACACTATTGGGAATGGTATTTAAGGCTTGGCTTTCTCACTTCCTTGTTGAATGATAGAGAACAAGGGGGACTCTCGCGCGCCGCCGCCGCCGCCGTCCCGTCTCGGGTCGGGTCGTGGTCGTGGTAATACGTGTCTTCGACTATCGCAACGATCTGGAATAAATCGCAATGCGAACTTCGACTATCGCGTTGCGAATCTGGAAACTGATTTGCGATACCGGATATCGCATTGCGAATTATCGATCGCATTGCGATTTACTTGGTCATTTTGACAAATCCAAAAAAAGTTGATCAAAATCGTATATTACAAAACATTTTCGGTCACTGAGATTATTTTCTCTTCAAATAATTTCGCCCATGCAATGAATTTGGATTAAGAGAATCATTCTTATAATATATTTTTATGATATTTGTATTTAAATAATTGATCAATAATTAAAAACCTTAGTCATCTTTTTTTTTCAACATAATTTTCTTTCAATATTTTTGTATTGTCTTCTTTCTCTTTAATTTTTATTTAATTGGTGGCGATGTTAATCTTAATGTTAATTGTCAACTGTCGGGGACTATTAATTCTTTTGTTTTGTTTTTATATTTTGTCTTTTATTATTTTTTTCATAAGTCTTTTTATGTTTGAATAAGAATCTATGTTATTATGACATGTATTTCTTTGCTCTTGTAGTACACATTTTCTATGCTTTTGGTCACGATCTTTATGATTTTTTGTACGTTTTACACATACTTTTGCGGTCGTTTTGGTACTCGTACAAAAACCATCACGACGTCTATTTTCTGATTGGTTTGTTAGTGGTCACTAGTCAAATCCCCTCTTTGATAAAAAATTATTTACCAACGCAATCAAAATTGTGTAGCAAACTAACGTGTCAGATTGTTTGGTTCGTTCACCACTTCTTTTATCACTTCGTAAATCGTCTCATTCGACAGAAACAATGAGTTTTATGAAGCTTGTTGAGTTTTTGTTGTTGGTCATCATTTTGAATAGGAATGTTTTGTTTTTCTTCGTATCTTTAAGTTTAATATTTTATTTTTGTATGAGTATTTTGGTGATTATTATTTCAAATTTCATCTCTATATTTTGATGCGTTGTATTCTTAATTTCTTCTATTATTAATGAAATCCAGTTTTCAGTTAAAAAAAATAATCCGATCAATAGATCACTAGTAATTATATGTATATAATTTTCAACAACGACTGGGCCTGGTATAAATCGAATCCTCCAATTTATTGTTATTCTCTTCTTCCTTTTCAGCTTTCTGATCTCTGAACTCCCAAAGACATGGCGAAAAACAGGAACAAGAAGAAGCGAAACGGCGTCGCTTCAATGGACTGCGACGAAGGAACCGTTCCCGAGCTTCATCAAGGTAGCTTTCATCTTGTATTTTTATGTTAAAATTTCGATCTTTAAAAGAATTTAACACTTTTTTTTTGCTGATCATGCCTTTTATAAAAAAAAAAACTTGATTTTTCAGTGTAAATTATGGTTTATTTGCAGCGATGGACATTTCAGAGACTGGAGTTCAAAAGCCTGGTTCTGCTACTCCAAGTGTAAATTATGGTTTATTTGCAGCGATGTACACTTAAGAGACTGGAGTTCAAAAGCCTGGTTCTGCTACACCAAAACTGTAGGTGTGACTTGAGTCTACTCTATTTTTTCTTTTGCTAATTTCTCACACTCATATATGATATAGAATATAGATATAAGCTTGTGTATATGTAAGATTGGGTTTCTAGGTGGAGTCTTTTAGTTGTAATTGGTTTAACGTTCTATCAATTTGATCTGATAGTATATTTAGTGTCTAGTAATAGTATGATTTAAGGGTAAATGCATTTTTTTTTTGCAAAACTCCGGGCCGTAAACTGAGTTTGCGAAGTTATGTGTATATTGTCTCCTTTTTGTTGTGTTGCTTGATGAGTATTTTTATTAATGATCTCCATAAGTTTGGTTGGTAGCTGGAATTGTTTTTTTGATAGAAATAGGGTAGGCCTTATTAAAACCCCCTCCTTAACCTCCATGTTATAACAATAACATGAAGGGCAGAGGAAGGAGGAAAAGAGTGCCTAATAATTCATTAATACCAGAATAATACATAGCCAAATCTTTAGAAGTTCTGTTACAACATAAAACTTAAAAACCACACAAAGAACATAAATAACCAACTCAATAGTCCTACAACCGGATAAGCGGATAAATTGAAGACCGGAACTTGAATTTTGGAACCTTTTAAGCTCACAATTAGGCTCGGGGTATTTGCATTTCTGAGTTTAGCAGGGATTGTTTGTTGGTTACTGGTGACATGGTGTGGTGAACATCCTTTACCTTGCTTTTTCTTTGGCAGTTTGTAAGTTTTACGGGTCTAGTATTCTCGTCTTGCAGGCTTGTTTTGCTTTATTATGATTCTCAGAGTTCGAGGCTTTCTATAGTTTTGCTTCTAGTAGTAGTGTTGTTTTTCTGGATAATGAAACTCACCGTAGTGTAGCTTTGATTACATGGAAAAGATTCTGGCTGCACCGCCTATGCCTCTTAATGGGAAATTGTTGTTTGAAATGATTTTCTTCTTGGCGTTCATTATTCACTCGTTTTTTTATTTAATATCGCAAAATGTAATATAACGTTTATGCAAATACGAATGAGCCCGAATTCCAGGGCTGTAGCTTGTCTCTGAACATACTTGTTTAAACGCCTTTGTCAGAATGCATCTTCATTTTCCTATCAAAAAAAAAAAAGAAAGAATGCATCTTCATTTGAACTTCATTCTACCACATTATTGCTATCTATGTAACCATGTACCTATTTCGAAACAGACAGATGAAGAGATCGAAAAATGTTCGTAAAGCAAAGGCTGTGGGAAAAGCTATTGCTAAGAACGAGAAGTACGCCGAGAAAAGCTCGAAGATCGAAAACAAGAAATCGAGAATCCAATCAGCTAAGGTGCTATATGAGTGAGTATTTTGAAGAATTTTATTGCCAAATGATCTTCATTTGATGTCTTCTCTAATCTCTAATCAGCTAAAAGTATTTCTGAGGATTGGGGTATTCCATTGCAGTAGTAAAATGTTTGGAAATGCAGAGTTTTTGTCATACTCTGGTTCGAGTTCGGATTCGTTTATTCAATTATTCAACATATCCTTGAGTCGAGACGACAACGTTGCGTTGGATAGGAGTGTACGAGAGTATTGATCCTTCTTGTTGGAAGATCGACACCTTTCACACACAATCTCTCCCAAGTTCTATAACCACCACTCTTCTCTACCATTTCATGTACGGATTTCTGTTTAAATCAGAATGGACCATAATCTCTCATTTAGACCATCAACACAACTTTTCATTGATCATAACCCACAATATGTCATAATTGAGTTATGATTACATCAATTTGTCAATGAACCATCGAGTCAATTTGTCAACAAGTTATCGTTGTTATATACGTTTTCATATTAGTATTTATCATTTGTATGAGTTGTTTAATTAGATTTTTTGACCATTTTTTAATTGTCGGACATGATTATAAGGTGACATATGTTTAGAATTTTATTAATAAATTGACACGCATACTCGATAAACACAGTAACTCAAACTTGAGAAATCAAAAAAGAAAAATAACATTTTATTTCATCATTAAATTCGCTTAATAGGTTCTTAAATGAGTAATATATGAATATTGGTGATTTTAATTTATTTTCTTATTTAATATAAGTAACCATTATTATATGTTCAAAGAAATAAGATTTTTAAGTTTTATAATAATTATAAATATAGACGGGTAATTAAAAAGATTTTTATTGAATTCAATAAAAATATATATTTTTTCTAATATATGCTTCTTTAAGTTGATGTAACTGAAATACTGAATTAAAAAAATAATATTTCAAAAATTCAAATTTAAAAAATCTCTTAATTTTTATGCTAATTATAGATAACATATTTTATAAAAATAATTTACAAACCAAATTAGCACATTTTTTTAATGATTATATTTAATTTATATGCTAATTAAAAATGATATATTTTAAAAAAAATAATTTACATACCAAATTAGCACTTATTTTTAATTTCCTCCATACCCACATTCTTAATTTATTATTAAATACAAGCTAAAATCATAATAATCTACAACGGTTAGATCAAAATCCAACGGTGCAGAAACCATGAACGAGTCGCTAAATAAGGCTAGGAAGAACAACGCTACAGTAGCTTAGCTGGGGCGTATCCGTGTTGATGATGTCAGTGCGACTAAAATTCTGACAAATACTTCCAAAATCTTAAAAGACGGTCCCTTTCTCAGATACCCCTTTTGTTCATTTCACTCTCTTGACTGTCATCAGATCATTTTGAAAGAGAAGAAAAAACAGCAATCCAAAGCCTCTCCTCTGTGTTTTCTCATCCAGTACTGTTCATCGAACGAAATGGCTTCTTCTTCCTCAATGAGCATGAGATGTTTTCACTGCAAAGTTTCATCTGATACGTTCATCCCCGGTTGGAGACTTCGTAATGGCGGTTTTGCTATGCTCTGCCTGCGCTGTGGGTAAGCTTTCCTTTTTGTTTTCTTTCACTGTAAATCTCACTTTTTTGCCTATGCATGTCCATTTTTTCATTTAGATTAGATAAAGTTGGGTTTTAGGTTTAATCAGTTTCTTTATCTTCAATGAACTGGTTTGATTGTTATGGCTTCAAGTTAAGTTCTTTTATAAATATTTCCAATCAAACCTCTTGAATTAAAATCGAGTTTGTCTCAGTTTATTTATTTATATGGAAATGTCTTTAGTTAAAAACTACTATATATTATTGCATTCATTTAAGAAGTTTGAAACTGCAAACACATATCAAGAAAGTAAGATGGATGATTAGTGTTTGTCCCTAAGAGTAAAAGTTTGGGAGTTATAATGTTACCATGTGAAAATTTGAAGGTTGCATTTTCGACTTGATTCGAATTTGTATTGTTTTCTAATTTCATGTTGATTTGTTGTTTATGACAAATTAGCCGCATTAACTTGGGTTTACCCGAAGAAAAGAAGTAAAATTTGTGCTATAAACTGCTTTCTGCTATAGATTGCTACAAGCTCAAGTATAGTTTTTAATTTTTAAGAACTTGATGCATAGGAAGGTTATTTCTTCACCTGCTTGTACAGTGAAGCCCCCTTCGATTGAAGATTTCTTCAATCTTCACAGATTATCATTCTTTTGTTCTAGACTGTTTAGGCCTTCATTAATTGGCTAGATATGCCATCCCTCGGTTGTCGTGGATTTTGTATGTGCTTGTTTCTGTTATTTTTTTAATCTAAATTCTATGGTAAGAGGAATTACTTGCCATGTTTTAGTACTTGTCTTGTGTCAATCAGTGTATTTTTTTGGGGTCCTTTTACCCTCCATTTGCCGATTCTTCCTTCTACACAATATGTTTGAAGATCAAGCTGAAGAAAAAATGGTCAAGAAATCTTGGTGTTCGCTGCTGTTTTCAGTCTTCACATGCCAACAGTTGGTAACCAAGATGAGTTGGAGATACAGTTACCAAAGAACGTAACTGGAGGTTCTACAATAAGTTGTAAGTAGGATATCACATAACAAACTGATGGAGTAAGCTCCGTTTCTATTGCCATAGTCGCTGTTATGTTCGTCCTAGGTGCCTCGTTCATCCGATACCTTTGTTACAATAAGTTATGTTCGCCAACAGCTCTCGTTACTGCGCTTCTATTCCCTTTTGGTGGAGTTAACCTCTCTTATCTCACTTACATGTTTGTTTATTTATTTCGGAAATTTGTTAACAGAACAATTGGTTTGCGACAAGCATTTCGGGAAGGCAGGAACTGATGGTTAGCTTCCCTCTCGAGATGTGTCTTGTTAGTGCCTTGATAATTTAAACAATGGATGGAAACAATAAAAGATCTTGCTAAGAGTGACTATGAATTGTAATCATCACTTCATATAGTAATTAATTAGTATTTGTTAGTAAAGACAAAAACACCATAAAATCTAACCAAAGTCTTAATATTTCAGTTATTTTAAACAATTTCTTCATAAATTTGAATATACATTGAAGCATTGTCATAAAATATGGGACATCAAACACATAATCATGATGACTATTCACTTTATTCATAATAATCTTCCTTATTTCATCAACTAATTGGATCGATAAGACTATCTCTCATGTCTCAAGAAGCTCCTTTCATTTACTTTGTATATGTTAATGCTTTTCATAATAGGTATGTATCTATTATGGTGTTAGAAATGTAGATTTTAGTTTCAACTTGTTATATCCTTTTCCGTAGAGCTACATTTAGTACACCTTCGGAGGGAACACTCTAGAAAGTTACAATAAACGCCCCCTCGGAGGCACAACAAGGAACCCTACAAAGACACCCTTCCGTAGAAGTATCTTTGCCATAACTTGACCCGCCAAACGAGTCCTACATGTCAACTACCAGGTCAAATGTCAACTGCATAATCAATTCCTATCAGAACAAGTGGATGTAGGCTGCATCATGTCGTTAAATACCTAGGTCAATCACGTCACGTGCCTACAATCCCTGATGATTGACAACCACATGGTACCTCGAGTTAGAGGCCCAAGTGATCTTCTTTTCAATCCTCACCTCCTCTCTCTTCCCTCTACTCCAACTACCTTTCCTAGAGGCTCTCTGCCTTGTACTATACAAGGTGAACCGCCTATCATCGTCGTCCAACCCTCTTTATATCAACACAACTTAGAATAACTTTTCGGATATTGGGATCATGTTGGTGTTCATTTGAAAATGATAAAACAATGAATGGTGTTAAGGAAACAATAATCACTTAACTTGTATTGAGTATAATTTAAGAGGCCTAGGAAATAACTTTCTCATACATACCTTGAGATACCATTATAGAAAGTCATAAATGGGTGTTGGACAAATATTCTATTCTTCATGAAGTTATATCTACTTGACATTGTTATTTTGGCTTCACTGTTGTCGAGTTTGGTGGTCGGACCAGAGTCGAAAGAAATTAGGCTAAAAAGATCCTATTGAAGAGAGACATACTTTTTATGAGTATACTTTAGCATTTGGTTTAAAGTTAGTTAGTCAGATGCTTATTAACATACTTGAAGGTCATAGCCTTTTGTTCTTCTTCTATCCTCTTTGTAGTAATTTACACACTCAACATAAACCATCAAAAGTTTTGGTTTGGTGGGAGTAATTGGGCTGGTCATTGATGGAAGAGGAAGAACGACTTCCAAAGTATTGGGCCTCTCATCATTTCCGCCCTTGGTTTAGGGGGAATAGATGGGAGAAACGGATAATATGATCATAAGTTTTAGGAAGTAAAAAGCGATCTATATTTTCTATTTCTGTGTTCGATGTTTTCAAATCTGTGTATTACTTGAGCATAGATGTCGGCAATCTGCATAGTGTGCAATTTCTATGGCGGCACATCATATATTTACCATTAATGGTGAATAAGACATCTATGAAAAATGATTCAAAAGTATGCCATTTTTTTTTGTTAAAATGATAGTTGGTGTCTAGTTTTAGCTTGCTAGAAAACCAAGAAGTCCTTTTCAGCATCCTTTTTGAAATATTTTGGTGTGTTGTCAAAAATCAGTTAAGGTTACAGTTATAGTGGGTAGTGATATGGGCATCAGATGATAAAACGGTGTTATGTGTTCTACTTTTAGTAACATTGCATACAACCGTGGCTTTATAAGTTAAATCAATTGGTGTCAGAGGTTGTTCACTAGTGCACATGCAGTCATTTAATAAAGTGAAACACGTCATTTATGAAAGTAATATATATATATCGATATCATCTCAAATTTTTAGGCCGAATTATTCGCATACTAATGATGGAAAACACACACACTATATATTTTTCAGAACTGATCGTTAATGTTTACTTGGGTTGTTGCGGACATCATCTTCTTGATTGCTGCTTTTCATTTTTGGATGTCAGTTTGTTTCCTTTCATGTATTGAAGTACTTGTGCTCGTTCATATTATTACAATATGAAAACATGTGCTTAGACTTTCCTTTTGACATCATGGATTCTATGTTCAAGTTTTGGTGCATGCATCTATCCTTATTTTAGGTTCATTTGTGTTCCTAAGAAGGTGATATAAGGAACCCTGGAAAAAAACTGAGTTTATTATGTAGTGTTCATAAGCAACCTGACTCAGTCTTTTGCAATTTCAGTTACGCTTTTAATGACGGAACATTGTGTGAAACTTTTCATCCTGAAGAGTCTGGCTGGAGAGAGTGCGTTTCTTGTAAGAAGGTAAGATGGAAATTCTTATCGGTTTTGCATTTTCTTTTTCCAGGTATGTAGGTGATTGTATAGAATTTCTTTTCAGGTTATTTCTCTTTAATTTTTATTTTTGAGTCTGCAAACTTCATTCTCTAATGCTTGATTTTTCTTCCATTTGTTACAGAAAATTCATTGTGGATGTATTATGGCAGCCCATACTTATACAATATTGGACTCTACTGGCGTGCAATGTATGGAGTGTGCAATAAACGAATCTTTGGTAGGAGTCAACTATTCGGCTATCCTATCTTAGTTTTTTAATGCCCTTTTCATGTGTAACTAACATTTTATACCGAATTGCATAATCAATATATATAATGCCATTATCCTTAAAATAAATGTTTCAAACTTCAAATGAGCATATATTTTGTTGAATTCTTCTTAGTCCTTCTTCATCTAAATGTGAAGTTACCAAAGTATAAATATACATCTATTTCAGGCACCACACCGATGCTCACTGCACCTTGGGCGCCCTGAGGCTTTTCTGCAAGCAACGGACTCTCCTCAAATACCATCTGCTGACCCAGAGAAAATGATAACTGGTGAATTTTCAATATATCTGGCCTTTTGGAATGAATTAACATTAGAGAAACAAAATATTGTTCATAGTATATTAAATGCATGCCGAATTTCCATAATTTTATCTTACTCCTCTCCTTCAGCACTCACAGCAATAGCTTTTCATTTATATGGTTTCCACTAGGAAGGAAAAATGACTCTTGCACTCATGTTGTTGGAACTAAATTAGGGGTCAATCCAATTTCACCACCCGATTGTCTTGTACGCAACGCCCCACCTAAAATGGTAGCCAATCCAACTACTCCCGGACATCAATCCCAATCTCCACCCGCAGAAACTGAAGAAGAAGACTCTGTGAATTCACCTGGTGAAACAAAAACACTCATTGGAATAATGGTGGCAAGCGTCGTAAAGGTGGCAATAAACGTACTCAAATACAAAATAAGTATTCACCCAAGATAAGCACAGAGGAGCTAAGGGAAATATGCAGACAGTATCCACTAACCTTCAGTTTATATCTATTGTGCTGTTTACATTTTCTTTTGAAGGATTATGTGATTGCCGTACTATATGATATTAGAAGCGGTCTAACATTTATTACTGTGTTATTTTGATATTTTATCTTGATATAGCTTCAATGTAATATCCTGGCTCATTCTGAGCTTAACGTCTTAGAAAGTTTGAGTCCTTAATCATATTTCAGGTCAAAATCAAGCCTTGTTCCTTTGTTTGAGAAAGAATTGACTTTTAGCGATGCTGAATCCAGGAATGGGCGTCTTCTGTTACCAAAGAGATGCGCAGAAGTAAGTTCTTGCATTAAATATGTATACATATAACTATAAATTTTAATTTCTAAATTTTGTATGAATTGGAATATAAATTTTCTTGATGGAGTTTGTGATCAATCAGTTTTTTAATGCAGCATTTGCATTTATTGTAATTTAAGATTCTATTAGTATTTTCTATATATTTTATTTGCATGACTTAACTATTTGAGTCATATTAGCTGGAATGACAGTCTTCATATAATATATATATTATATATATATGAGCTCTAGTCTGGCTTCCGAAAATCCACCTTATTTAATATTTCCCCCCGATAAAGAATGGATATATTTCATGTATTGAAAGAGATTACCACAGGCTTATTTCCCAAAGACTTCGGGGCAACAAGGAATCTTCCTCATGCTGCAAGACACGAATGGAAATGCCTGGAAACTTCACTTCCGTTACTGGACAAATAATTGTGGGAAGATGTATGTTCTTGAAGGGCTTAGAGATTACAAGATCCAGATGAAATGGGAAGCGGGTGATACAGGTAATTGATTTAAGTGTCTAATGATTCTATTCCCTTTTTGACAAGTCGGGTTTTCCTTTTCGGTGGTATTGGCATTTGAATCGTACATTTCACTTCTTATTTCTCCGTTATATCTTACTATTTTGTTCCAATCAATTAGCAAATTTGACCTTAGTTTTGCTTGTTAAACGATAGGCATCTCAAGTACAACAATATTATCAGATGTATATGTAAAATATGTTTTAAATTTAGTAATGACAGTTCATGCACCTAAAACAAAATATATCTAGCTGCGATTTTTTAAACATTTTCACAAGCTTCAAGATTTATTTTGTTTCACCCAAGAATTCTGATTTTAATAACTAGTGACTAAGTGATGAACTTTTCAGTGAGATTTTATAAAAGAGAAGCGGATGGACAATTGGTCATGGGATTCAAAAAGAATCAGGCTCCCGTAGTTGTTGTGAAGGTATGTGTGCTAATTATTTAAACTTATCATTTTATTGTGCACGTGTCTGATAAGTACAGCATTTTCTGGTGTCCATTTATTCCTTCAGTGATTCTTGAAAAAAAATCTACTTCAAATCTATATAATATGTATGTGGTTCAATGGTTGATGCATTTCATGAAGAGGTCGGCCATATGCGAAGATAAAGCTGCAAATAAGATTATAATACGATAGAAATGATACCAGTGATAATAACAGTAATAGAAATAGTAACATAGTAATTGTAATTCTTGTTTCACTAACGATATGGTAAACCTTAATCATTCATCTCAGTAGAATAGTTTGTATTCTCCCATGGTATGAACAATTTCTAACATGCATACGGAATAGTAGTTTCTCAGCTGATGTTATAATGAAAGATTAAAATTTTGATATATGATATGTTTATGGATTTTTATTTTTGTCTAGAAAATGTTGTTTCACCATCCTAAGATTTGACACTTTCTTTTCCAGAGCCCAACTGATGCTTGAAAACGACTTTAACGTTCAAAGACCAGTGTGAACATTTTGCTTTCCATCGAAGGTGTTGGAAGTTCCTTTTATGCATGCTGTTATCTGTCAGCAAACTAGTATGTTAATAAGTCAAAGAAGTTTGTTCTTTTGTGGATGAAAAACATCTAATTATCTTTTTATGTTATCGGTTAAACCCTCACAGTGACTGCTGTGATAAACTTGCTATGCTACTTTGCAGTACCCTAGGACTGCTGTTTATAAACAATTTTGCTATAAGTTAGAAAATCAAACCATACTAATTCTGTTAATCTTTGTCCCTAAATCATGATAATCTGCCATGAGCGGGTGCAATGGTCGATGCTCTTGATTTGATTTGTGCAATTGTTTTTTGAAAGTTTTTGTGCATCTTAGTTCTTTTATATTGGAAAGACGAATTTGGTGTTTAAACTGTAGGAGTAATTAATAAAGAAATGAGCAATTTGCTAATAGGTATATATTACTGATAGAACCATGAAGAATATTTCTGTTTTATGATGTTTATGAGGAAAACGGAGTAGATCCTTCAATTCTTAGTCTTGAGAACTTTTAGAAAAAAAAATCAGTACCGGGTCCTACAGTATACGTATTCGAACAACATGTTCTTGAAGTGAGATGATTGCTGGTCAGGAAGTAAATGAAAGATGATGTTTAATCTTTGATTTAGCAGAAAATTTAAAATCTTTAGCATCATCAAAAGTACAGGAAAAATGATAGAAACACAACATTTAGAATGCGAGAATTCTTCCGGTAGTTTCCTTCATGTCATGACTGTTGATTTCCTTTCAACTTTTCTTCTAGATTTAGTTTCTTTCAAATGAATCATGTTAAGATATCTTAGGAATTATACTACATGAACCTAAAAAGACAAATCAGAAGTCATGTTCAATTTCAACTCCGTCATGCCGTAAATTTGCAGTTCCCGTCAAGGAAGATGCAAGTGATTGGCATGAATGATAAGAAGACAAAAAAATTATGTTCTGTCAGTATGATGGAGTAGACCTTCATTATTGGCAATCAAAAGTCACCTTCATAATTAAGCAAGTTCAAACTGATATGTTGCCTGTGAATGATCTGAAAACGGAAAATTTTCCCTTGAATTCTAGTAGTTGAACATTCTGTGGTTGAGTTGGCTACTTTTGATCCTAATCTATAATTAGTAATGTACTTAAATGTCAAAACTCTGGAATTTTTTCTGCAATTAATTCAATAAGCTATGTTTAGTAATAAACTTCACAGTGCATTAATTAAATGACCTTTGTCTGGTAACATAATTGAGTTCCTTTTCAGTCTATGCTATTCTATAATATCTAATATTATATATGGTAATTTGTTAACAGAGATAAATTTGTCATATTTATTCTATTAATGGAATCTTTTTCTATATTTATCTGTTATTTAGCAACAGAAGTTTAAATTTCAATGTTTGCTAGGTACACATATAGTTGTACGTGTGTTCATCCTAATTTGTCTCGTAAATTCATCGTATTTGGTCATATTATTCGGCTGTGTATAAAACTTAAGAACACATGAACTAAACAAAAGAACAAAGCCATCTGAAGGAGTTGTGGCGAGCTATTGATAGGACCTGCATGTATATTGCATTGTATAGTTATTGGGTTTTAAGGATTATGTTTTCTGTTTCAAAAGCCTTTAATTGGAACCTATATCTAGGAAAAATCCGGAAAGTCGTGTAGGACAAAATAAAGTTTTACATTTTGTGGAAGTTACAAATAGCTTTGTCAGGAACTCTCTTCTTGTGCCATTTGTTGATTTAATGTTTATTCTTATATGGCAGCTACAATGGTTTCAAAGCAGGTTCCATGGACAGCTGAAAGATGCTTGACTTCTTAGTAAGGAAAAAAAACGAGATTATCAGTGGCATGCCAACACTCGTATGAGTTTTCATCGTAATCTATCTCGTCAGTTCATAGTTTTTGGTCATATTACATCGGCGAGTATAAAACTGAAGAACAAATGAACAGTCATCTGAAGCAGTTGTGGTGAGTCATTGATCGTTTATCAGACCTGCATGTATATTGCATTGTATATTTATTGTGTTTTGAGTATTATGTTCGGTTTCAAATGCCTTTGGTCAGAATTCTATACCTAGGGAAAATCCAAAGTCTTGTAGGACAAAATAAAGTTCACATCTTGTGTAAGTTACAAGTAGCTTTGTCAGGAATTCTCTTCTTGTGCCATTTGTTGATTAAATGTTGATCCTTATATGGCAGTTACATCGGTTTCAGAGCAGGTTCCATGGACAGCTGAAAGATGCTTGACTTCTAAACACGGAAAAAAAGAGATTATCGGTGGCATGGGAACACTCGTATGTGTTTCCTCTTCTACAAAATAAGTAAAGCGATCCGACTGATCAACAGTTGTCAGGTTAGATTTCAAGTCTGATTCCTTTCCACACTGCATTCCATCTATTCCCTGGAAAAAAAAGTTTTTTTCCCACTTTCTTTTCGTGTTTCGTAAAGCTGAGATAGAGAGAGAGAAATAGATATATATCGTATTCTACCATTAGGTCTGCCAGTCATGTCTGTAAGACAGGATTAAATTGAGTATGAGCTTTGTGAAATGCTGAAGATATGGTTTTAAAGGTGAAAGACCAACTTTACAATTAGTGTCACCGATGTTTATCTTGCTCAATTTCTGGTCTCGGACTGTTCGGTAGCTACAGAAGAAAAATATGTGATGGGTTCTGGAATTCCGTCATCCTGTCGGGTAACACTGAGGGATTCAGGTCAGGCTGTACAATTTCCTTTTCAGTATTTTTTTCTAATGTTTTAAAGATTGTAACTCGAGCCTATTGAATTTGTGCAGATTGTTACTGCCTTTCCTTCAAAAAAGAACTCATTATATTTTTCCCAATGAATATCTTCTCATAATCTCAAAGACCGAGGTTAACACTTTGTTTTTTTTTCAATAAATATCTTCTTATTTTATACTGTTAATCTCAGCTTTAAATTTATCTCGTCCAATAGTCATAAAAAATGTAAAAACTAAAAGAATTTTACAGTGTAATTATATTCGGTCTCATATATATATATATATATATATATTCTGTTTTCCCTTATGCTCGTACTATCGTTGTATATCCTACAAAACCCCGAGAATCGTCGATTAAAAATGTTCGTGAAAAACAGGTTATGGCACAATAGATATCACTTTGTACTTATCTCATATTAATAAAAAAAACTAAGCGTTACACGGTGAAAAAAACTTTGGGTAAATTGCACCGCCGAATATCATTGTTGAACTCTAGTTTGTTTTTATTACAGTTTTACATTATTTCAATTTTAGCACGAAACTTTTTAAACCACCAATCCATTAACACAATATGGTGTGAAATTTTCTTAACAATTGAAAGTTGAATAATAAAATTGATACATAACTTAAATAATGACATTTGGTATAGTTTATTCAAAATTATGGGATTCAATTACCAGTTGGGCTAGATCATGGCCTTTTAGCAAAAGATCGTCTAATCCTGACCCGATAGGCCCAAAAATTGAATTAATAATTGAAAAATGTTGGAAAGCCTATTTGAATTTAGAAAATTTTCTAATAAGCACTAATTAGGGCAGGGGCGAAGGACATCAATTTTTTCAGAATGAATTTAGGGTACTTAAAAGTGCAAATTTTCTTTTGCATTACTTTATATAATTTTACCATATAAGTGACTTATGGTGCTTTATTATACTTTCTTTAGATATTTTAGATTGTTAGAGCTAAAATTTAAAACATTTAAATTATTTTTGAATTTTAATAATTTTAATTTAAGTGATAATGATTATAATGACAAGTACACATGTTAAGGTGGATATACTAAGCCCCAATAGGGATAATTGCATCTTCATTAGTTTAAAAAACTATTTAATTTAATTTAATATACTAAACCACAATAGAAATAAGCGAATCTCCATTTTTGTAAAAAAATATTAAATTAATTATTGGGTAAAGAAAAATGAAAAAAAAAACAATAGAAATAAGAGCATCTCCATTTTAAAAAAATATTAAATTTAATTTATCGGGCAAAGAAAAATGAAAAAAAAAACACTACGTACCCATTATTTACTAAGAAAGAATATTAAAATTTTGAATCTTCGTTATTAAATTTTTGAATCCGAAGAAAGGATACTAAAATTTTGAACCTTCATTCTTAAATTTTACTAATACACAACTAACACATGATCGTAAATTTCTGAATCCGTCATTAATACACAACTAACATATTATAGATGAATACGAGGATGAAATTATAAAAATATTTTTCATGTATATAAAATTTTATATTAATGCTCGAATATATTGAGGACAATGTAATTCTTTCTAGTTTTATCTCAAATAAATAAACAATTTTTTTTTCTTTTGAAATGCTGCAAATGAAATGACACCGTTTCGATATTTCAACGGGAGATTCATATATAATTATACATTTTGAAATATTATAATCATATTTAAGATGTTAAATTTTCATAAATATATTTGAGTAACTCAGTGAAAAGGGAATCCATGTGCACTATATTCTTTGTATATGCTATATTCTAGCTAATATACAAAATCATGGAATTCCAAATAAATTTTCACAAAGCAGGAGTTATTTACCCACTAAAAAAAAGGTAAATTTGAAACACGAGCCGATACTTTTACGTTTGAACCCCCAAAGAGTACTGAAATCTCTACTGTGCCCCTCTTCTGAGCATTTCCTGATACTGATTCAGAGACTCCTGCCTTTGCAACCTCATTTCCTCGTTAAACTTCTTAATGAATGCTTCCACTCGGCGGTTCAACTCGTCCTGGCTCAACGAGGGGTCTCTCTTGAGTTTGGCCGACCCAGAAGACCGAGTGGGTGACGGCTCCCTGGGGCGTTCGTTGAAGGTGTCGGATTTCTTCATGGTGTTTGGGAGAGGAGGGGGAGGGGTATTAGGGTCCTTTTCAGCACGTTGTTCCCACGTGTCGGATTTCTTCAGGTGACGTGTTAACGGCATCGGACGGCCCTCCGTTATCGTCTTCCACGTCGACTCCAATGTATCGTGCCGTTTTGGCTTCGATACCCTCAAAGCTTTCCCTGCAAAAATTTTGAATCATCCATCATCAAATTTACTGTTCTGTCCTTACAGTTCAATATTGTAACTAAAATTTGCACATCTTTTAAATTTCTTTTGCATCAAGCTGGTGGAAAAGCATTTATACTTTGCTTGATAATTTTGGCTTTCACGAATGTGCTTTATAGTTTGATTTTGAAATCTCATGCTATAGCGGTTGAGAGATTTAAGGTATTTAGTGGTTTACCTTCCGTCACCGCTTTCACAGCTTTCCGCTGAGCGAATCTCTTCGACACCGGCGGCTTCTCCGCAGATTTCTCCCCCAACAAACTCACAATCTCCATAGACATACTCCTCAATGGCGCCGCCTCCATCACCACTTTAACCTGCTCCTCCTCCACCGCTCGCTTAGTCTCCTCCGCCACCAGGACTCTTGCTGGAGCGGTTTCATAACTGAACTCGTTACTAAATACTTCACTCGAAACCTTGAACGCCGGTGAAACTATCTCCGGAGGATTGATCAGTTGAGGAGACTCTGGCTTATGAGCCTGAAGCTTGGAAGAAGCGACGATGGAGATGATGATGCAGTTGATGAGAAGATAAAGGTACGGAGGCCGAAGAAAAGAAAGTATTAAACCGTAAGTTGAAGGAATACCGGACGTTACGAATTCAGTCACGAACGGAGCAGAAACTTTAAACAAAACGGCCATGGATATGACTCCAGTTGATATCAGTGCTGTTTTGAGAGAGAGCGTTAGATTTGCCATTAGCTTAAAAAAGAAAAGTGACTTTTTTTCTCGAGAAAATGAGGTGAGAAATTAGTAGTCCTGAAGGAATTGAAGGAGATTGTAATTGGAAGGTGGTGGAAGATATTTAAATACTAGAAGCGGAACCGCGGAAGGTTTCGTGATGAAATATTGGCCGTCTGATTGGAAGTTGATATGGGGCCACCCGTTACGGTGTCCGAGAGACGACACGTTGGCAGGCGGTGACATGGGCTTCTATTTCCACGTGGCACTGTGCATATTTGGCGTACAGTCGACGTATTTTTCGACTCGTTGATGATATTTATTAAATTTTCCTTTATGCATTTTGCCGTTATCTAAAATCTATTTTATCTTAATAAATAAACTCAAGTTAATATATCAATTCAACTTGCAGTGTAAAATTAAAGTATATAGACAGATGGTCATAAGAGAATTTTCGACTATTAAAATTTTTAAAATAATCTTTTAATTATAAGATATTATTTTATTAAGTCTCTTTATTATAAAATTACGAAATAGTCACCTGACTATTTATGTGTTTTAAACTCATATTTTTCTGTTAAAATACTGACGACAGTTTGAATTAGACGTTAACTTGCTCATTAAAATACGATAAAATTTGATATCATAATCTCAAATGACTACCATATATCAATTAACAAGTTAATGTCTAACTCAGATGGTTGTCAAATTTTTAACAAAAAATAATAAATTTTGAACATTTGAATAATCGACGATCATTTTATAACTTTCAATAGTTGATTAACTCACCAAACCAATGTCTTTCAATTAGAAGATCATTTGTAACTTTCGATAGTTGGAGGATTTAACAAAGAAATATCCTATAATTAGGGGACCATTTGTGTACTTTACTCAAATAAATTTATGAATATCATTTAAAAATAGATTGATTGAATCTAAAAAAAATCCATTTTTTTATTTTTTCTATAAGCTACAAGTTTTTTTCTCTTTTGATTTTGCCAACGACAATGATGTTGGTTATTGACTGTCGGTGTTCAGCTTTTTTTAACTTCTTACTTTTCGTGTATTTTATATGTGTTTGTCAATTTTTGTGGTACATTTTAACTCTGCTCTTGTTGTACATTTCTTTTATATTATGACATCTTGTTCACCTACCTTTGTGTTAGATATGTAATCGTGTAGAAATTCTCATATCGCTTGTATTTGATTTATGATTATCGGTGGTTTTTTAGTGATTAGATTCTTTTTTGTGGCTATTTGTCTATGTATACATATTTATTTTTGCGAAACAACTTGTAAGTTTGCTTTGATTCACTTGTCACTCCATAATCTCTAAAGTGTCTAGTTAGAGACAAAATAGTACCATTGCCGATTTTTGGGTTACTATGGATGATAGACATCATTTGAGTTTTCTTTTTTTATTTAATATTTGAGTTTTTTTTATTAACATAATCTCTAAAATTTTCTCTTTGATCGATTGTATCGTTAAGGTTATATCTTTTTTGTTTCAATAAAATTTAATATCGTTTCAAGCTTAAAAAAACATGTAGTGTGATAATAAACAATCATTGTTAAAACAAAGTCAATTGGATGCATAAAATTCATATTGAAAGATTTACTCACCAAAATTAGGTGTGCGACGCGAGTTAGTCCGAATTAATCAGGGCAAAGCGTTGCAAACCAGAAAGGCAAAAAAATGAAGTTTTAATATATATATATATACTATTTTATTATTTTAATATAACTTAGTGCTAATTTATATATTTTATCAAATAAAAGGGTAAACTACACCCAATGATCACTAATATTTGAGTAAATTTTTGTTTTCCCTATTGAAATTTTAGAAGTAAAAAAATTGGTCATTAACGTTACCGATTTGTAATAAAATGGTCACTTTACCATTATCTCCGTTAAATTGATGACATGACAACATTAATGAAAATGTTAATATTCAGTTTTACCCTTAAACTAATGCTAAAAACATCAAATAGGTCATTGAACAATGATTTTATATCAAATTTATTTCCAAAATTTTCTAATTTAAAAAAA